TACCCCCCCCCCCCCCCCCCCACACACACACACATTATTTTATTTTATTTCTTGTTTTGTTTTTTTAGAGCTTTGGAAGGAAATTTGAGGAAGTTGAATCAAAACAAAGCATCTTAGAGGTGGCCGACAATGGTCAGTAGCTAAATTCTATCCTCCCCTCTCGTCCCTCTGTCCCCACCCCCCGCCCCTCCTCCTCCCTCTCCCCAACCCACCCGCTTCTTTCAGCACAGTGGAAGAGTCTAATAACTGGAGGGGAATCTAATCCTTGGCACTGGATGAAAGACGAGGGTCTCCCTCCCTCCCTCTCTTTCTCACAGTCTCTTTCTCTCTCTTCATTTTTTCCGTGGATGCTGGTTATGCTTGGCAGGTTCTCTCCCTCTCTCCCACTCATTTTCCCGCTCCCTCTTTCACCCAGTCTTTCTTTTTTTTACTCCTCTACTTCCCCCCCTTTTTTTCTCCCCCAACTTTCTTCCTCTCCGTGCAGGTTAAGGTTAGCAGGAAGAAGCCTCATCTGCTCAGACTAGAGGGAGAGAGGAAAAGCAAAGTTTAAAGTTATAGTTGGATGTTTTGGGAAATAATATTTGTTTTACAGCTGAGAATTTGATGCAAAGATTCATTACATATGAAGCTATAACCAGCAGCTGGTTAGCTTAGCTTAGCATCAATGCTGGAAACAGGGGGAAACAGCTGGGCTGGCTCTGTCCAAAGGTAAAAATCCACCTACCAGCACCTCTAAAGATCACTAATTAACATGTTGTACCTCCTTTGTTTAATTCATACAAACAACAAAGTGTAAAAACAACAGGTTAAGATTGAACGGGGGTAAGGTTTTAGGTTTGTGACTTCCTTGAGGCTTGTCACAGTGAGGTTGCAAATTAAATTTCTAAAACTAATGATATAACGTGTTAATTATTGTGCTTTAGAAGTGCTGGTAGACAGATTTTGTAATCTTTGGACAGAGCAAGGTTTACTCTTTCCCTCTGTTTCCAGGTTTTATGCTAAGCTAATCGTCGAGGAGAAGAGGAGGAGAAAAAAGAGGAAATATGAGTGGTGCTGTCATTGTTTGAAGTCCAGGTTCGACACAGTTTGTAGGGAGCCCGCAGGAAGCTGACTGTCTGACCCCTGAAGTTTGATTGCCACTGCTTTTTATCAGCCCAAAACCATGCTAGTCCACACATATAAGTTGTGGATTATTGTGATTCAATTACAGTCTGTTATTCCCACCTTTGTTCAGGCCTTGGATAAAAGCAACTGTGAAGTGTACCTGACGTTTCGATGAGATTGGCACTAAAAGACAGTGTTTTTGAAATGAAATAACAAAGGCTACTTATCTAATTGGTAAACAGAGCTGTTAAATGGTGGTTGGCTTAAACGCTTGCAGGACACTGTAATTGCTGCCAGCCCTCACATACAGATGCAGGCATGCACATTCACACAGTCACACACTAGCGCACACATTTTCGACTTCCTCCGCTCGAACATAAACATACTGATAACCTCCAGTTTGAACCCGTCTTTAAAAATTCCATTGAAGAAGTCGGTTGCCCCCCACTCCCTCCTCCTTCTCCCTCCCTGTTCTCCCTCGTCATTCACACACAAGCTCATTATACCTTTTGTTGGATGATAGCCAGACTGAGCATGATGACACTAAGGACTGTGCCAGGAACATTAAACATGACACGCTGTACCATTTGCTGTCAAACACTGGTGGAAATCATGATTGAGTGTTTTTTACTCCACAGCACATCAGTCAGTCTTCAGAGGACTGGTGCTAATGCCTACTGCAGTGGGAAAGAACACTCTCATTCATATTTGTCAGTTTTTTTAGCCTTTTGATGTCTTTTTAAACTCAAAGCCCCCTGAGGAGGTATACGGACAGTATGGTACCTGCACACATGCATAAATAAGAACATATGAAGTATTGAATAATTGTTGGTAAGGCAAGTTGTTTAGCACTTTTCAACAACAAGGCAAGTGCTTTACATTAGAAATAAAACGTATTAAAAGACAAAACAGTTAAAAAGACATATAAACAGTGATGGCCACTAAATCAATACTAGTAATAATATTACTTTCCCCAGTAAATAGTCGTGTAACTAATGAATTTCAGTAATAATATTGCAGTTACTCCCCCAAAAAAAGAATTAGTTACGACCCTACTTTTGTTCACCCTCCAACAATCCTATCACATCCTTGGATTAATTTCTGTAATTGTAGCTTGGAAGACAGAAACTCTTACATTTAGTTGCTGGAAATATTCATATGACTGATTTTAACAAACAAAGCGGCATTTTAATCGTCGCTTTTCGCCAATTTTTTTTGGGGGGGGGAGGCCGCAATTACAAGTTTTGTGGGGAGTAGCAGAAAAGTAACATAACTAGTAGTGTAATTAATTACTTTTGAAACGAGTAATGAGTAATAAATTACATTTTAAGTAATTAGTCCCTCACTACGTATAAATAAACTAAAACAGAACGAGACAGTTTAAACAGGAGTTCTGGGAGTTTCTTTCCGATATATAAAACTCATCGTATTGTTGAGTTTGTGTAGATGCTTTGTCCGTCTGTTTGCAACATCTGTGCTATAAACACTGAATGCATTAGAAACTTAAAAGCCAGGATTTAATACTATATTGTGTGAAGCACCATTCATTATATGATAGAAATTAAAGCGTACTAGGTCTAAAAAACCCTAAAAAGTCCCAGTTTGTTTTATGTCTTGGGAATTAATTTGATCGTGTGCTCATAAAGTTTCCCTGTGTTTCCCCAGACATGTTTGTGTTGCCTTATTACAGGGAAGAGCATGGCTTGTAAAAGTGTGTGTGTGCGTGTGTGTGTGTGTGTGTGTGTGTGTGTGTGTGTGTGTGTGTGTGTGTGTGTGAGAGAGAGAGAGAGAGAGAGAGAGAGAGAGATAGATTGAGAGAAAGAGATAGATCCTGTAGCTGAGCAGCTTGCTCTCTTATTGGAGAGCTGTAAAAACTCCAGACCGCAGGAGTTGCCAGCCTGGAATTCACTAATGACACACGTGGGCCTCAGATGAGAAGTGCAATTTTGTGTGCGTTAGTGTGTGTGTGTGTGTGTGTGGGTGTGTGTGTGTTATAGTCACAGTGTTTGGATCAGAAGGCCCAATTTGTGTGTGTACACATGCGCTTTTGTGAGGCCCTATCTCATCATCTAGTGTGTGTGTGTGTGTGTGTGTGTGTGTGTGTGTGTGTGTGTGTTTGTATTTGCGTACAAACACTCACACACATCTCCTCCTCCTCCTCCTCCTCCTCCTCCTCCTCCTCCTCCTCCTCCCAGTTCCCCATACTACCACCACCTCTTCTAAACCAACCCCTCTGAAATGAAAATGGCCGCTGTGCAAACATAACACACCTAGCCTAATCTCGGTCCCAGTTTCACCCAAAAGCAGCTTGTTAATGGGAGAAGGGTCGCAGCCATCCTGGCCCCTGGTGGATGAAGAGGGGGTGCATGCTGGAATATGAAAGGAATGGGGCCACAGGCACATGGGTCTTTAAATCCTCTGTGTCAATAGAGCCTCTGGAGCAAAATAATGGCATCACTCTGTGTGGGAGTTAATGTGAGCTGATAGCATGAGGGCTGGGGGGTCAAGGGTCCACGGGCTTGCGCTAGGTTGACAGAGAGCTGAATGCTTTCCTCCACCCCGACTCCCCTTTCTGCTGCTCTCTACCTCCTCTCTAGACCTGAAGTAGTGTTATGGGGGGAGATGGTGAGGGATGTCAGTGGAGGAACTGGTCTGTTCAGTGTTGGCAGTTAAGCCACCTTTTCAAAATATTCAGATGAGTGACAAATTAAAGGAAAAACATGATTAAATGAGTGAAGGCAGATGCTTCAGAGCATAAAGGGGATCACTGAATGGTTTATTGAGTATGTAAATGTTGTGAATCATACTGTAGGGCAAACATCGGGATCCAGAAAATCTTTGCAGCTGCTAAAGTTAACAGTAATCTGCACAAAAAGACCTATTGCTATCTCATTTCCAATTCTCTGATTCTGCATTCCTCAGGTGAGCAATGCGAGATCCAATGTGTATAGGGTGCCTAGCAGAAGCTAACTTGAAGCCCCCATCTGAATAAAACAATAATTGGGAGTGAAATAATAGCATGTATTTTCGTATCTTTTAATCATATTCTATAGCCTTTCGAGCCTTCAAATTGCAACTGAATTGGTTACCTCTGGGAGGTTTTTGGATCCATGTGTTAGCTCTCTCTACCAACAAAATGAAGGAATATCTTTTGGAAGAATGGTGTTTCATCCCTCCAGTAGAGTTAAGACACTTGGAGGATCTATGGCAAGGCGTACTGAAGCAGTACTGAGGGCTTAAATAGACCCACAATCTTACTAAGGCTATTCATGTAGGGTTTTTATTTTATTTTGTCACTCATCTGTAGGTCTTCAGGTTAAATGTTGTACTGTATTTTGCATGAGAGAAATTTTTTAATTTTATCGGGTAAACTGAAATTTGCATCCTTCTAAAACTTGCTGCTGTTGTGAGCTAAAACATGTTATTGTTTTGAAGAATGAGAGTGTAAACTAGGGGTGCTCCAACATGTTTTGAGTGTCAACTAGCCTCAATGTGATACCAAGAACTTAACATCACGTTGTGGACACACAAACACTTTTTGTTTCAGTGCTGCTGTACAGTAAATATTTGTCATCATGTGTTTTAACATTCCTTATAATTAAGTAATTAACATGTAGTCTCAAGAAACATGAATTACATGATAGTTCATTTGCTGCCTTTCATATCTAAATGATATTAATGATTCTGGCCCTGGTATTACCTGGTAAACAGAGTAAGGAATGAGCATCCAAATGTGTGGCTCATGTTTTCATAAAGACTTCCTCTCCCATCCTCCCTTCCTCCTCCCCCTTAAGATAACATCGTACTCCTCCCTTCAAGAGGAATTACTGTCGTGAAAAATTAGCACACTTACCAGTGCAAACATTCATTTTCCCACCTCTTTTTCTCCCCCTCAGACACTGGTACCTCCCTCGGCTCCTCGACTTCCGGCGGACATCGCTCTCACTGGTGCAGTGTTGCCTACTGGGAGCAGCGCACACGCGTGGGTCGCCTTTATTCAGCCTACGAGCCCTCGCTCAACATCTTCTATGACCTACCTCAGGGCACGGGCCTCTGCCTCGGCCAGCTCAACGCCAACGCCTACCATAGCCGCCGTGACGACCCAGGCAGCCACAGCACATCTGGTCTGCATGGACATCACAGCCATGGAAACGGAGGGAATAGCAGCAGCAGCAGCAGTGTGCAACAGATTCGCAGTAAAATCGGCTACGGCATCGTGCTGAGTCGGGAGCCGGACGGAGTGTGGGTGTACAATCGCAGCCAGCACCCGGTGTTTGTCCACTCACCCACTCTGGACCCTCCCAGTGCTCGAGGGCTGAGTGTGAAGAGGGTTATGCCGGGCTTCTCCCTCAAGGTGTTTGACTATGAGCGCTCCAGCTGGATGGCCGAGCACGGCGTGAAGCCTGAGAGCCAGGAGGGGCCCTGGGACCCCCACAGTGTTCGCATCAGTTTTGCTAAAGGATGGGGCCCCTGCTACTCCAGACAGTTCATCACCTCCTGTCCGTGCTGGCTGGAGGTGCTACTCAACAACCACAGATAGCACACAAACACTCACAGACTCACATGAGGTTTCAGTATCCGTATTGTAATCTACCTAGATTTAATATAAAATTTATATATTATATAAAATATATTATACATGTAAATACTTGAGTCATTTTTACAATGCAATTATTTATGTATAGTGTAATGTGTATATGGACAAAATAAACAGGAACAAGAATATGCACTTTTGATTCTATATATGCATTACAGTTTCTCAGTGTCATTTTGCAAATATAAACTGTATAAAAATAAGACAAACCTGGTTTATGTTCTCATGATTTTAGTAATTCCATCAAAAAGTATGCCATACACACATTGTCAATAAAGTATTTGTATTAAATGAAGATTTCTGTGGTGGCCTCAAGTGCTTCTACCTGAGTTTTGCTCTTTGACTTAGCACCTCGTTAGCATCCATTGATTACATTTTCATCAGACACACACAATATTTCTGTTTATGCACCATAGATGCTCTTTTCAGTTGTTTAAGGTGCTAAAGGCTGATTTTCTTTTACCTTTGGACAGATCCAGGCCAGCTGTTTTCCCTTGCTCCCAGTCCCTATGCTAAGCTAAGCTAAGCTTTGTATTTAATGGACTGATTTGAGATTGGTATTAGAAATACAGACAAGGCACATGCCATATGCAAATAATACACAATATATACAAGATAAAATAAATGCCTAGCAGTTTTCATCAATAAAATTGCTTTATAGTTGATATAAATGTAACTGACTGTGTTAATGGCCATATTTGATATCATTTACAGGCCCTTTAATTGAACCCAATCAAATCAAAATTGTATAGTAGCAGAGTTTGTGATATCGGCTAATATCGTAATGTTCTCCAAGGAATTGATGTAATGTTGTATCATGATGAAACTGGTGATTTAAACGCCTAAGACAAGACATTAAGGGAGTTGAACAAATGCTTATCATCGGCTGCTTTTCAGTATCACACCTCTAACAAAGCCTCCACTGCAACAGAGCAGTCACCAGTCTCTGTCATAGTGAAAGAACTTAAACATGGAGATTGCCTGGCATTAGTCTTCTTTGCAGTATTGAGACGAGGCAAAACAGATGTTATCTGCAGCCCACTGTCACTCCTATCACAAAATAAATGAAAGAATGTGAACACAGTTAGTGTGTGGAATATGATCAAAGCACAACACAGCCACATCATGTGCAATACATCTAGTGTTGCAGCAATGAGATGGTAAAACATCACTTTGCATGAGATGGTAAAGTTGCATTTGCTGAGGAAGACCTCGAGATACAACAATAAGCTCTGAAAAGCTAGTAAATGGACCTTTGAACTTTTGATTATATTGTTCCCAAAAGTCAAGAATGAACTCCGATGCTGTTCTGTTGTTTGTGTCTCTATGCAAAAAGTTTCATTATGAAAGCACAACTGACTTTTTTCTTTAAATGTGTTCAAACTGTTTGAATCATCAAGTTTTAACTATCTTCTTGGCATTAAAAGGGACCAGTGGCAATGGAAAACAGTGCAAGGCGTCACAGTGCCAATGGTAAGAAAATAAAGTGCATAACTGAGAGATTACACAACAAACCACAGCAGGGCACTCGGGCCCAAACTGACTCTGGTAGGAGAAAGTTCTGTGTTTATAGCGTAATGGCATCCTGTTTGAGTCTTTCAACAACACAATTATTTATGGAAACTCATATTTGGGGTTAAAGAGCATGAACAGTGAGATAAAAAAGCAATGTAAGCAGTTAAAAAAGCTATAACCTTTGTAGAGACGTGTGTTTAAGAAGCAGCAGCGGTGGCGGCGGCACCTCGCTCAGCTCAGGCAGTCGAGCATTTTTGTTTTGACCCTGAACTTCTGCAGGCTGCTTGCTGGAACCTGTAATTAACTTTAGCTGTAAAAGTAAAGAGGGGTTGATTACAAAGTCGCAGCAGTCCTGAGGAAAAATGAAGCACTGCAGCATTCAGAAGTCTCTCCAGTGTTACAGTAAGCTTGCACTCTGAGCTTAATGTCATAGCATTTAGAACACAAAAACAGTACAGTCTCTTGGTTTGTAAACTCTTGTTTGCATGTAACAGCATACAACGCTGAATAAAACGTTTTAGAAAAGCCTTGGGCATTCCCATACACCCCCCAAAAATTCCAATGTATATTTCAGTCAAGTCTCCTCTCTGCTTTTCCAGGCAAAGTGTGGGATTTGTGGTTAGGATACAATGGAAGGATTCAGAGGAGGGATTGGGGTGGGAGAGTTGCTGCTGGCAGGACAACTCCAAAAACTTACCATGGTTCTCTTCCATCTCTTTTTTTGGTTTTCTCATCTGAAAACACCCCTGCCCAGTCTCCTGTCTTAATTGTTTTCCTTTGTCAGGATTCAGAGTCATGGAGACGATGAAATGGATCCCAGGCAGCGAGTGGTGGAGGAGGGTTTTTGGCCCGCGTCTTCAGGGCTGCGGTGTGTGCTGACCTCACTGTGAACTGAAGGAAAACGGGCTAATTCTGCCGCTGGCTCTCGAGCTCCACCCCTTCACCATATAATTATCTTTGTCCAGATTATGATGTTATAATTATGTTAATGAATACACCAGGATGGGTAATTAATGGAAGACATGTTCTGTTTTTGCTACAAACAAGATGACTGATGGACCTTACCACAGTGTGTTTACAAGCTTTAGTTCCATAACTGCTAATCACTTATATTTTATATTTTTATTGATCGTTTTTTAAATGGTCTAGAGCAGTGGTTCTCAACCATCGGTTTCTTTCAACATTACATTATTGTTGTGTAGCAAGCAGTTTGAAAGTTTACACAACGAAACGTCTTGATGAGCCTTGATGCTTTCTTGATGTCTTGTTAATAGGTTTTGATATTGTTTAGAAATGGGTAGAATCCAATGAATGCATGGTTTAGTCAAGAAGGTTTACCTATTTTTCTAAAACACAGCAAAATGGTTTGTAGATACTGTAATTAACTGTGATGTAAAGTAAAGCAGAAAGGGCTAAAACATGAAAAAACACTGGTATGGTCCTTTAAGTCCAGCTTTGTTGCTGACTGAGCAAAATGCCACGGACGGAAATCAGAGCAAACAGAAACAAACATGGAAATTCAGAGTCAGACCAATGATGATTTTTAATTGCTTCAGGTCCAATTAAACTTGATCAACTGCAGACAAACACTGTACTAATTTTATTGAACTTACTGTAAAGAAGCATTGAAAGTTTCAAGGCTGCCTCTCACTTGGGCGTGGTCAAAAATGTGTTTTATTGCACCTGTAACTACACCCAACGGTGATGTAATGGTGTCCTGGAGTAAACCTGTACATCACTGCAGCAACTAGAGGTGGGTGGGTGGGTGAGGTGGTGTTAATTAGTTTCTTAAAAACTATCCAACCAATTGCCTAGAAAAATTAATTAGATGCTTACTATGTAAATAAATGCTTCTTGTTTACTTTAAAATGTAATTATATTTACTTAATTTTGTTTATTTCTTAACACAATAAAGTCAAGTAACTTGTTTTTTCTAAGTGTTACCAATGTACATTACTGATTTTACAGATTGCCTCAGAAACATTAAGTAAGCACAACAAAGTTATATATTAATTTGACTTAACTAAATGAATCAATCCATAAAGAAATGTAAAAAGTTTTTCAGATGATATCCCAGCTCTGAATGATCCCACGAGTGCAGAAATCTGAAGCAGTACAAGTGATCACCAGAGAAAAAACACAAAATCCACACTCGTCTTTTCTCATCGCACCATCATCGTCTTGACAGTGTTTTGTCACTTTGCTGCTCAGAGTGCATGTGGATCGATATCTCCGCTGTTAGCGGGCCCTCCTGTGTGAAACCGCAGACAGCTCAGACGTCTCCTTGCTGTCTTGTTGCTGATTGCACATCAGTGTTTATTAATGTCATCCTCTCAACCAAAGGAGGATTACAGACACGTCCTAAATAGTCTCTCACTAACTGTGAAAACCAGGAAATAAACAATCGGCAGTTTGCTGAAAAACTAGAAGAAGAAGAAGAAGATGGTCTGATGTTTGTTAGCCACATGTAATCCGGGATTATAGGTGTGGCTCTTGGAAAAGGCTCAAATTCAAACAGATCTCAACAACAAACAAATTCGCTAACAGACAACTCAAAGTTTAAAGTTATTATCCAGGGGGAGTCATCAGTAAGTGGAGCGTAAACATCCAGTGTCACAGAAGTCAGAGCTGTTTAAAGACGCCTCTGTGACTCTGCTGTCAGTTCTATCTCATATTCATTTTAATACCAGAAAACATGTCAAAATAAATTAATGTTAGAGTGATGTGAGTACAAACTAAACTGAAGCTCAGTTCAGTCACTTTTCACTTGCTTCAAAACGTGATGCAATGCACTGATGGGTGCCCTCAAAATGGAGAAAATGCAATAAACCCCCAGGTTGGGGACACCAAAGCTTTACTGGGGGTCACGGGGCTTCTTGATTTTAAGGGTTTTTGGAAAAATATACACATTAGGCCTATAGCTCAGAATTTAAAACTAAATGAAATTGTTTTTTGTTTTTCTTAAGATAAAAACCTGAACATTATATATTCACTGAGCCTTCACTCTGATAAACAACCTCAACCTGCATTAGAAAAGTTCAAACAACCAAAGAGTTAATAGAACAATGAGAAGAAAACACTGGATCTGTCAAAAAGAAGCCTATTATGTATGTATGATTGTTAAAATGAAAAAAAAATAATAATAACACAGACAGACAGACAGAAAATTGTATTAAAAGTTCCTAAAAAATACCAGTAAAACTCATCTCTGATCAACATTCACAAGAAATAATCTGCGATAAATTCATCCAAAATCGGTTGTTTTACACAAACTTCCTGCAGTTATTGTGTTCACTATTTGGGTTCATTATACAGTTTATCAGTTGTTCTCTACTGTTATTGTTATGCATTAACAATAACATATACAATATCCATAGAATAGTCATTTATTTTTTCATTGAGTCGTTTGCTCAATGATAGAAAAGGGGTCCCTTATGAAAAAAGGTTGGGAACCGTTGCTCTAGGGTGCCCTTACGAAGGAAAAAGTGTTGTTGGTGCCCTTTAACCTCTGGCCCCCTCCTGTATGATGGACAGAGTAAATGGTTTGTGTCAGGCTTGTCGGCTTGAAATGTTAGCAAGTTTGGTTCAGATAAAAACAGCAATAATAATAATGAAGCAGATTTTGTAGTATTTTTTTATAAAGTTAAGGTATTAGGTTGACATTTTGGAAACACCAAAAGTAATTTGAATTTTTTTTTAATGAGAAAATGGTTAATCTTTAAATCATAATTTGGGATTTGGGATTTAAATTTAGGTCAAAGTAGACTTTTTCACTGCAGA